GGACTTTCTATGAAGTGTCTGCCAAGGAAAATGATACTCCCACTCAGCCCGGACCACTGCAAGCAGTTGCTGCTAACCACATGCTTCACGCTGCCGGCTGCTAGGACACGGCGCGCCGCTGCAGCCGAACAAAACCCCGCGCTGCAGATTTACGGAGAGAAAGCCAAGTCCCGGGCAAGCGGCGGCCGGAGCCGTGACTCAGCCGGGGGCCAACGCTCGCCAACGCTCGCCGCGCAGCCGCCAGCGCCGGGGTGCTCGCCGGCGACTCGCACGCCGCCAGCTCCCCCCCCCCCCCCCGCTGTTTCCAGTTGCTAAATGACATTAGAAGCAGCTAAAAATACTTCAAGCGATTCTCTCCTTTACTTTTCCGTGCCAGCACTCGCGTCTGCCGCAAGGACGTTCTCTTCCCCACCCGCGGGTGGTCGGGCAATTGCTCCACTAATGCACGTTGGGTGGGAGAAACCGCCCTGCCCGCCAGGGACCAGTGCCTTCGTCGGGCAAGAGTCATTGCCAACAGCTACAGCTTGTGGCCAAGGTAGCTCCACACCTTCGAACGGACGGCGAGGAGCACCAGGCGTTCCCTGGTACTTCTCATACCCCAGCGAGCCCAGGAGCCGTCTTGTGCAAACCAACTGCAACAGGCTCGGCAGTGCCAGACAGCACGAGCAACGCAGTCCTGGACGAGATCCAGAAACCCTTCCTCGGTTGGAAGAGAAGCATGTGAAAAACTAACTGAAAAAAAAAAAAAGTGCTTGCTGAACTTTGTACATAAAACAACAATGCCAGAGCAGCAGCACAGCAGGACACCCCTGCCGGAGTTACTTTGGGCAAAATCCCACGGAGTCCAAAAACCAAGGGCCAGGTGATTTCCTCTGTCACAGTGAAAACTACTGTCCATCGCTCCTGACAAATAAATGCAGCTACTCCATTGACTTGGCTTCAACAGAGACAAAGATTACAACAAGCATCCTCATGAAGCCTGGCCGGCGTGCTGCTTGTGCCCAGCTCCCCGCAGAGGCAGGCTCCAGGCTCGCTCCGAGCTCCCCAGGAGAGCATCTTCCAGCCCAGCCTGCCTCCATGAAATCAGGACAGCAGTGCCAGCAAGGGAAGGCGTTACACTTCTGCAGGAAATTTGCAGGTTAACTGATAACGCTTTCCACCAAGATTTTGGGTTGTGTGGTTTTTTGTTGGTTTTTTTTTTTTTTTTTTTTTCCCCTTTTCAATCCAGGAAAAGAAACATCTATTTCTTCCAATTAGCAGGAAAAGGGAAGGAATTTCCATCCATTTAACGCCTGAGGGCAAGAAAGGAGCCTCTTGAAAGAAAACGTTGGGGGTTTTTTGTTTTTAAATCACAGCCACCTACTGCGGGTCTCCGGATGCCACCGACACCAGCTCGCTACCAGCTCTCTCTGCGTTTCGTTCTGCAGCCGCAGCAGGCCAGCCCCTGCCTGGTGAGCAGCCCCTGCGGACGGGCACTCCCCAGGAGCTTTGCTCCATCACCACCAACAGCCCGGGGTCAATACGGAGCGATACTTTGCAGGTAGCGTTAGAACAAAGTGAGCAGCTACAGGCTGTAGGACTGAGACCTTCCCGAGATGTGCTCTTTCCTTGGGAAACTTGTAAAGTCATCTTAAAAGCAGTTACAGGCTGGCGCTCTCCCCACACCGTCTACAATCTCTACATTATCAAAAGTCGAGTTTCACAAACCAACCATCTACATCAGCTCTACGTGAGCACCCGTCTCTCCAGCAACAGCAGCAAGATTGCATCTCACCACTGCCATGAGCTTTGCAACATATTTTTTATCACACTTGCTATAGGCACAAAAGCTGCAGAGATCACTCTGATACAAGGCAGTACCAAAGGGCCACGACTTATGAAATGCCTCCATGCAGATTTATAGCAGTAGTCTGTCTTTACACCTCTAACACCAAGTTAGCATAAAAGGAGACAATTTCTGTATGTTCCACGCTACAAATAACCCATTTTACACCTCTTATCGAGCAAGCAATGAGTTGACCAGCTGTGCACTTCTTTCAGAAACGCTTATGTTCTTCAGCAAGATATAACCTGACGTTTACGCATATTCTAATTAGATCCTAAACTTGGTCTAAACAAATATTAAACTGAACTCCTGGGTAATTCTGGACCAGGAATAGCCTTTTAACATGACTGAAATAGCAGTGATACAGATAAAAAGATTGCTGGAACGGGCATTTTCTTAAAAGAAAAAAAAAAATTGTATACACCTACTGATGAAGAAGAACATAAACATGGCCAAAAAAAAAAAAAAATATCCATGTGAGCTGGTGCTAAACCCCAAATGACTCCCGTGCCCATCCGGTGAGGACGGGCTTCACTTGCTGTCACAGGGCCCAGGGCCGGGGCACTTCTGCCCACGCCACCCCACTGCTTCACTTTGGCAATTCAAGGCCAATGTTTTGTAGGCTCGGTAATCCCTGACAGGAAAGAAGTCCACTACACTTACTGAAACTAACTTGTCACAGCTTTTAGGACACCTTTTCAGAAAGGTGCTAGGAAGTTTCTCTCTGTGCACGGTGATCTAACGCAATTCTGTGAGAGAATGGGAGAATAAAGCGCTATCCACCAAGCCGGTACAAAAACCTAAAGAACAACTTGATAGACTTCAGACTTGAGTTCATGCCAGTTACAGCCCTGTTTTCATACATTATCCCATCAGCTTCACAGCCTGTTGAACACTCGCCAACCTGTCCTCCACCACAGTTCGGTGAGCAGAGGTGCCACCCAGCAGAAGTCACCAGTTTCCACCATTACCCCCACGGGATGCTCGTCCAAACACCCAGCTCCCTCCCTCACCCCCCCTTTAATCACCTTCTCACCCATCAGCCAGGCTTCCAGCTAACCGCCTTTTCCAATTCACTTACCCACCTGAAGGAAAACACACCGCCATCACCCGAAACGCCAGCTGAACTCAAAAGGTTTGGCAAGCGACTCATTTTTCCGGGAGCCACAAGCACCGCAGACCTTTCGCCCCGGTGCTGGACCTCAGCCCCCGGCGTTCCCAGCCCACGGCACACCGGCTCCGGGTGCCGGACCTCAGCCCCCGGCGTTCCCAGCCCACGGCACACCGGCTCCCGGTGCTGGACCTCAGCCCCCGGCGTTCCCAGCCCACGGCACACCGGCTCCGGGTGCTGGACCTCAGCCCCCGGCATTCCCAGCCCACGGCACACCGGCTCCGGGTGCCCACCCCGCCAAGGCGACGGCGGGCGAAGCACCGCGCGCTCAGAAAGGGAAGAACCCAGCGGCGGGACGAGCAGCTTACCGTCTGCGCGCACCAGCTGGGCGGCGAGAGGGGAGACCCGGAGCCTCGAAACCCGGCACGCAGCAAAACCACGCGAATTCACAGGGGGAACGTGAAACTGCAGCAGGTGTAGCACCCCCACGCGGGGTTTAATTTTTTAAACTGCAGTCACACTTGAGGTACACCACACTTTAAAGGCATACACAGCACACCTTCAAGGACTTCCACCGTCCTCCCTGCAACACCCTGCGGAGCGGGATGACATTTAGAACGTAACTTTGCGAGACCTGTTGCTTTCCAAGAGAGGCCAGGCACAGACCCCCTGCACCCCTGAAACAGCGACATAACCCAGCCCGGTATTTTCAGCGTGTCGTTGCAGAAAGCCCTTCTTTTGTCAGATAATCTCACCTTGCTCATCACATTTCTCTGACCCCTTATTTCAAAAGCACAGGGTCAAACCGACAACAGCTTTAGAGCCTCAAATGGAAGTCCTGTCAGCATGATCTACTCCCGACATCCTCCAAAGCTCACCAAGACACCTTAAACAACAAGACATAAAATAAGGACTAGGTCAAACCTTCCCAATGTATGAGGAAGCCTGCTCACGTCCCGATCCTACACCGATGAGGGCTGGACCCAAATCAAATCCGAGCCTATTTATTAGAGAGCTTTTTACGAAGCAGGGAGGGTGAAAGGGAGAGAGTATTTTAACTGCAACCAGTCAGACGTTTCTCATTAAAATATTTCTTGGAGAAGTAAACGGGCCTGCAATTTTAGTCAAACAGATGTAGGCTAAACGCATATCATTAGTCTGACAATATAAAAGCACAACCGGCTGAAATCATTTTAGTTTTGTCAGTGAAAAGGATAATGTATGCATATCTGGAGGGCACACCAACGGTAAAGATTACCCCCAGCTTCTATCTTAGCCCGTCTAAAGGTATTTACTCGGGGTCTGTCTGTGTTGTGACAGTGTCCTAGACCGAAATGAATGCCTCTAACACTCCACATTTTTGAGCCATTCAGTCATGCATTTTTGTTATTGTTGAAAGTAGTGCGAAATTGCAGTGCATGAGCTGGAGTCCTTGGTGGTCTCCGAGGATTCCAGCTAAAAAGGCACTTCCTTTGTTCCGCGGAGAATGCGGTCCAGTAGGTCATTCAGAAGGGGAAATAAAAGCAGCAGCCCTGGGAGGGAGATGAAGGATGAAACAAAAAGAATAAAATGTTTTGGGTGTGAGCACATTAGCTACCATTTCCTACTGCTGCCGGCTGCGAGCACTCCTGTCCCCTGGATGCGCAAGTACCTCGGGACGAAGGTGGAGGGAAGAAAGGAAAAGAGTATAAAAAAAAAAAAAAAAAAACACAAAAAACCAGAACAGAAACCGTTTCTGGATCCCCTCGCCAGCAGGCCGCCGGGCCAGCGGCACCTGGGGCGGCCGGGGCCGCCCGCCGCCGCGCTCCCCGCCGGGCGGAACGGCAGCCCCGGGGGCGGGCAGCGCCCGCTCCGCCGCCGCGCAACCGGCCGCGGGCGCGGTCCCGGTCCCGGTCCCGGCGCGGAGCGAGGCGGCGGCGGGGAAGGGGGGAGGTTGGAGTGGGGCGGGCAGCCCGGCTCCGCGGGGGCGAGGCGGGAAGCGGTTTGCGGGGTTTGGGGGGGGGGGGGGGGGAAGATGAACCCGCCGAGCCCGCCCGCACAAAGGCGGCGCCGGTCGCGACTCACCGCTGATCTCGTGGCTGGGCGCTTCGCTCTGGCTGAAGCCCTTGGCGGCGTAGAGCCGCCGCACTTCGGAGCAACTTTTGGCGCGGGGCTCGGCGGCCAGCAGCAGCGGCAGGCTGAGGGCGGCCAGCGCGCAGAGCAAGGGCGGCAGGCAGCCGCGCCGCCGCGGCATGGTGCGGCCGGGCAGGGGCCGCCGGGGCCGGGCGAGAGCGGCCCGAGGCCGGAGCCGGCCCTCCGCCGAGCCTGCCCCGCCGCGCCGCGCAGCCGCCGCCGCCGCCGCCGCCGCCGCGCTCCCCGCTCCGCCGCGGCTCCGCTCCGCTGGCCCGGCGTGCGGCGGCGCTCTGCAAACTTGGCCCGGCAGGAAGCACATGGGGTGAGCGGTGCGGGAGGAGGGAGGGAGGGAGGGAGGGAGGGAGGAAGAGGGGGAGGGCGGAGGAGCGCGCAGGGCCGGGACGAGCCTCGGCAGCCCGCGGGAAAATCAGGAGCTGGGATCCGCCCGCCCAGCGAGGCGGAGCGGAGCCCGGGGCTGCCCCCCCCCCCCCCGAGCTCCTCCGCCCCATTCTGCTCCCCCCCCCCACGGCCGCGGGCTGTCCCCGCCGGGCACCCGCGCTCCCTTCCAGCCCCGGCTCCGAAGTGCCGGGCGAGGGGAAGAGGATTTCCCTGCAAAGGGGCTGGGTTGGCTGTTCTTCCTTAGCCGGAGCTGCGGATGGTTCCGCTCTGCTCCAGTTTTAATAGGTTCACTAAACTGATGATTTTTGACAGGTCTGAACTATGGGCGTGAAAGGCTCGTCAACACCGACTGTGGGTTTTGTTTGTTTTTTTTTTTTTCACTAATCTTCCAAGAGTTTAGCAGGACAGAGGCCTCGGGAACACAGACACCGAGATGCTCTGGTCACTCCTCCTCCATCCTACCCTGGCCCTGCACAGCCACAGGCACCAATGTAACCGAGCCCCACTAAACCCTTGAACCAGGGGTTTAAGTCCAACAGTTGCCGATTGCTTCTGTTTGCTGAAAATCACAGCCCTGCGAGAATGGCAGGCGCTGTCGTCACTTCACGGGGCCGTAAGGTCACTTAATGGGTCTGCCTAGGGAGACCTTGCTCCCCGCCAGGCACGGTGAGGCCTCGGTGTCCGTGTCCCGTGGGTGCAGATCCCACGCAGGCAGCTCTGTCCGGCTGCACCATCCACGTGCCTGCGCCCAATGCTGTGCCTCACCACGGTGTCATTTGTCCCATGACGGTGCAGTGGCTTGGTGATAGCATCGTTTAAAAATAAGAGATGTGCAGCGGTTTACATTGCAATATGCTCCTATGTGATACTCAGTTCTGTCGCTGCCTCGTTGGGGAAGGACAGGCTGAAACAACAGCAAAGGAAGTTGCCAGCTTCACCCCCTTGCTCTCAAGCTTTTGTCAGCGGAACGCCGGGCGGGTCGGGAGGAAAAGACCCTCTATTCATTTCCCCCGGCGAGGGCACGCTGACAGCAAAGCGCGGCCACGCCGCCCCGCCAGCCGCTTCTCGTGGGAACGAGATGCTCGTTGAGCTCTGAGCTTTCCAGCGGCGATGCCGGCAGCTCACCGCAGGCTTGGGGCAGCACAGGCTGCTGCAGTCAAGGAACGGCACTAAAAGCAAGGGAAAGCTGCGTGACCGCAGCCCGGCCTGCTGCGATGGAGGTGCTCTGGCTGCGGCAGGGCTTCCCCTCCGGCCAGGATGCAGCCAGCATCGCCGGCCTGCGTGGGCAGTGGGCCACGCCATCCCCAGGGGCAAAGCTGGAGTTTGCTTTATCACAGTTTAAAAAGCCTCCAGAGATGCATCCAGCCATCCCGATGGAAAGGGGTGGAGGGATCTCAGTCACCCTGCCGTCGGCCGGGGCCACTCACTCCGAGCTGGTGAGACAAGCCAGGCCAGAAGTTCTCATGAAGTTATAAAGTGTCCTGAGAGAGAATAATCCTCTAGGATCTGGCCCGGCAATGTATGACTGAGTTCTGGTTTTCAAAGCACTACCTCACCCTCCCAGCCTTTATTTGAAGAGACAATGTGAATTTTAAAGAGAACTCAGCAGGGAGCACTGCATTTTTTATTCCAAAGTGAGAGAGAAAACGAGAGTGAGAAAGTCTGTGGGGTTAGAGACAGCTTGCCATTTGTTGTTTCTCATAATCCCATACCTCGGCAGGATTTAAGAAACCTCCTGAAAAACATGGAGGGTTTTGTCAAATACTTGATCAAGTAGTTAAATCAAAGGCTGCAGCAAAACAATGGGACTGCCTGAAATTTTTCATTAAAAACTCTTTTTTTTTTTTTTTTTTTGCAAGGAACGGAAAATTGGCCTCTTTCAAAAAAGAAATTTTCCTTTGAGTTTTTCACCTTCTCCAGCATTTTCTCACATCTGGCAGAACCTCCTCAGCCCCCTCACCCCAAACCACTCAAGCAATTCCCCTTCCCCATTTCTCTCCCTTTCCCAGGAGAAAAAAGATGGTGGGGGAGAACTTGCGGTTTAGTTTTAAAAACACACTGACATTTTTTTTCAGGGTGAAAACTTCTGACCTCCCACCTCCCCCCAAACTCTCCTCTCTCCCCATTGATATTTCTGCCCCCGGGCTCAGTGTTTCTTTTCCAGCCCTAGAAGATACCTCGAGGTCTGCCATGGCAGCACGGGGTGCTCCCCGATTCTGGGGCTCCTGTCTCCATCCCCCCGCTAACGTGGCCAGGAGCTGAACCCATGCTGCCTGCGGGGCTTTCGGAAACATTGTGTCTATGCCCGCTCACAAAGCCTCCTCAATTGTTTGGGGGGGACCCCCCCCACCACGTCCCCGCCACCGGCACAGGCAGGCCCTCGCTGAGACGGAGACGAGGTGACATCGCCCACGCTGGGTCTGCACCGAGCCCCCTCCGGCACGTGCCACGGGCCTTGCACAACTTGGCATTTCCAATCGCCATCATCACTCAGTGGAAAAACTGCGGCCCTGCCAGCTTTTCGGAGAGAAGGAAGCAGACACCAGAGGAGACCCAGCTCCGCCGTTTCTCTTCACCATCCCTCGGTGTGCCGCCTCCCCTCTCCAGCACAGACCTCCAGCCACGCTGCTCTGCCCCCCATCCGCACACCAAAGTTATATCAGTTTAATTAAAACCACTTTGAATCCACTCTAGAGGAACTGGCACAAACCCTTCATGGGAGCGTGGTTAAATCAGTGTAAATCTTGACGGTATCAACCAAGTCCACGCTGGCGATGTACCGGCTTACACTAAAAATCAATACAAGTCAATCCCACCTGCGCGGGATTCTCCGGATCGATTTTAACTGCAGGTTGGAGGGAGCGGGGCAGTCCTCTAGCACGGACAAATCTTGGCAGCAGAGAGGAACCCCAAGCCCAGCAGCGGCACTGATTGCATCTGAAAATCCCGCCGAGGTCCGACGAGGGCTTAAGCTTTCAGTTTTGATTTAATTCTGGTCCTGGCCAGAGGTCTGCCACAGCCCTGTGGTGTTTCCAGTCATCTGTCAGGGAATTTACTGGGGGGTTGTACTTGGATAAAGATTTCAGATGTAGCCCTTTAGGAAAACCTGGCTGAATGCAATCCTTGGGCTGGCTATCATTAAGGGTGATTAAATCCTACACTCTGGCAGGAAAGCCTGGGCCACAAGGAGGTTAGAAAGTGTTGAAAGGGAACTGGACAGGCGTGTCTTCCCAGCTCCAGCTCATCAGCAGGAGACGGCTCATTGTAAACCCAAACCAGGCGCGTTCGCTCTCCTGTGGCAGAGTGGTTGGGCTGGAACGAGGGAGGCTCCAGTGGAAACAGTCTCCTTTGATAAAACCCCAGATACCACAAATTCGGAGGGTGTTTAATCCAGGGCATCTGTCATGAGGATGGGGGGCTTCTGCTGGTTGCTAAATGACGCGCTGAATCTGGGTTTCAAATGTCAAGGGCCTGATATTTTAGGGCAAGCAGATCCGGTGTTTCAGCATGGGCTGATGTCTCCATTTATTTTTATCACTTATTTTTATCCTGGGGCTCCTTCACCCCATCCAGCAAACAGAAACCTCCCGCAGTAACTGCTCGGCTCTGGGGTAAGGGGTGGGCTAGCTCCTCGCTGCCTTCTGCAGGGCGGGGGGGGCTGATGCTGGCCGAGCTCTGCCGCAGAGGGGTGCAAGGTGCTGTGCACACCAAAACGAGACGGGAAGATGCTAAGAGGAGGAGGGGAACGGTCTGGGTGTGCAACGAGGCTGCTGCAAGGGTGTCGCTCAGCTTCCCGTGTCCAAACTGGCTTCCAGTGCACGGGGCTTGCTGTGCGGAGCCCAAGACCATCTCCATTTTAGGGAATGCAAGAGCTTGTCTCTCCCCCAGCAGGACAAGAAGTCGTCCCAGCTCTGTCCCCAGACACCACAGGGAGGAGACTTGGGGACACGCAGCTTTGAAGGGCACAGGAACGCACTCACTTTCACAGATTTTTCATGCCTGCACTTCCCAGCTCTCCCAAAAATGACTGTGTGGCAGATGGCTCTGACGCGTAGCACACTCACACCCAGCGGATAAAAATATTCCCCAACAGATTCCCGGCAAGCAAACGTCAGTCACCGTTGCTCCAGAGCTGGCCACAGCTTCCTCTCCTCCCCACTCCCCACTTTGAGGGGGTGCAAAGAGGGTCCCCGGGCTGTGTCTCCCCAGTGGCTACCACATGGCTCACCGGGCCGGTGCTGGCACCTGGGCTGGCATCCCGCATCCACACCCGCACGCCTTCCCACAGCCCGGCATCCCCGGGGACGCGGCCCCATCCCCCCCTGCCCCGGGTACCCACACGCCTGGGTGTCACCAAGGAGGCTGGGTGGCAGGATGGGACCCTGCCTCTGCCTCACCCAGGCCTTTCGCTGCATGAGTTGCAGCCGTGAAGTTTAATTCTCCATCCACAACTCGTACAATCTGCCTATGGACGTGAAGGGGGGATGGGAGTGCGTGGGGCAGGGTGGGTGGAAGCAGCCGTTGGGGGCAGGGAAGATGAATAGCGTAATTCGGGGATGCCAGAGGAAACAAGCCCACAAGTCACTCTTGCATTTCCATCCCTTCCAAGCGGCAATCCCCTGCTCAGCCATCCCCCGGGTGCTCTGGGCTATATTTACAGCAGGCATCGCCACCTGGGCTGCCTTTTTTTTTTTTTTTTTTGCTTTTTTTTTCTCCTTTTAAGAGCTGGTTCGGTGACGGTGCCAGCCTGGCACGGGGTGGATGCTGGCAGGGCAGGGGCAGA